TCGCACAGAATTGAAAAAATAATTCACTTCACTTTCATTCAACTTGGCATTTTTTAAATATAGTCTTGTTTCTGCACCAATCACTAAATTTCATTTTCTTTTTGTTTACTATACTTCTGAAATGGAATAGACGTTAGAGTAACATCTTCATTTCTTTAGAAATTACTGAGGGTTTTACGAATCTAACAAAGAAATCATTAAAAGTTCAAAAGTTCTCTTCTCAATTTAGTATATAAGGAGCTTGTTGTTGCAAATTAATATTTACTGTTATAAACAAAGGCAAAGTATTTCAAAAATAACAAGTACAATTGGTGGCGGTGACTGTAAAATTTTTTTAATGTTTGGCAATCTCTTTCCTTCATTCTCACTGTTATCTGGTTTATCTCCTCCAAAAAATTTATCACAGCATCCCACTGTTCCAAAATCCTCCTTGTTAAGATTCTAAAAGAGACAACCATCTCGTACTGCAAATATTTCAAAATTTTATGAGATTTTGCATTCTGTCCAAAATGTGTTGAGCAACTTTGAAGCTATCTCCGTTTCGAACCTTTTCTCCAAGTAAAAATATATATCTATTATCAACATTTCAATTTCTGAGCCAATTAATTTCAGTAGCTTTTTTGCAGCTATATGCAAGAGGTGGCACGGACAACCTCGGTGGATTATACTTGGTTGATGCATTTGATAATGATGCTACACCTTAAACTTTCCAATCAATTACTAGCATTCTGAAAGAAATTGATAAGCAATTTTTCCATTCTAAACCTTTGTTTTGAAAGTTTTCATTTATACAATTAAAATACCTTCTCCTGTATTATTCGTGCATTCTAAAATAGAAATCAATGAAGTAATTATCACTCCCTTTCTTTACTGTAGTATGTTATAACCAATGGTACATTTTGTTATCATTGTTATCATTACTTCCATCAGTACTTAGAGAAAATGATGTACTGCACACTGATTTTTATAATATCAGCAACAGTATTTTCTGCAAGCGTTTTCACAATAGCAGCAGTTTTGGTATACCGCAGCTAAATTTTTTGCTATGGCAGAATCGGAAACATTGCTTTGAAAAGCTCTTTGGAATGATCCGAACAGAAAGCGTAGATTATGTTCAATTAAAAAACGAACAAAATAGCATTCGGCTTTTATAGGATCTGTTTCATCATCTTTTATTAAGAAATTTGTTTATTTCTTAGATTTTACGGTGCCAAAGTTCTATATGATTTTGAGAAAACACATGCGTTTACAGCATCCTTTTCCGCTATGAGCAACTGAGAAGTCTTTGTTGCATACACTGCAGTGTGCGTGATTCACAGAAATTTCGGACGCTTTAATGCATGAAAATTCTGAGAATATGAATCTTTAAATTCTGCTTTGATAATTTTGGCTTCTTCGTCGTTCGAGGCAGCATTATGATTAAAAATCTTTCACCTGATTCACAGTTCACAAGACACACACGCTAAGCTCTCGCCGTAAACTACCAATGCAGCGAATGCAGCCAAAACACGCATCAAGCGAGGAACCTGGGAGACAGACAATTGGGTGGAACTATTGATAAGTCGTTAACGGTTGGAGTTACTGATCTACGATTGCTATTCTCAAAACTAGGAACGCACTCAACACGTGATATATGAAACACGAGTATTCAGCAATCGTCGGATGAATTAGTTGGTTCCGTTTTGCGTACTGGTTCTCCTGCTCTTGTTTCTGTAAAATCCGTAGTTTTTTCCATACCTTTCGTAGCTCGTAGTTTTTCATGAATTTCCGTAGAAACTACAGAGAATCCGTAGTAGTTGGAGTCTATGTGCACAGTAGCATAGTAAAGCCTCCCTTGCAGACATGTTGCCTGACAGTATTTCGTCCACACAGGGCAGTTTTGTATCCAAGTTACTCTGAGTTAGCCAATCAAAGCAGATGATGTGATATGCATTCAAAATAAAATCACCATTAGTCTCGGAAAAAATTATAATTTGCAAAGTTTCATAGCCTTTATTTTTCAAGGCATGTAATAGTAATAAAAATGCTAATACAAAAAAATGAAAAATAAAAATTTCAAATTAAAAAATTAAAATCGTGAAGCATGAAGGGAAAGCAGCAACTGCGAAATATAATGCACATGTGCACATGCGTACACACACACTCTCGCATATGTATATAATCAGTCATTTCATAAAAGGAGAAAATAAATCGATTACCTCATATATATCTTAAAATATAACATACGCTGCTGATAATCAGATTTATAATAAAGTGTCATTTTAAGCACACGTAAGAAAAAAAATAAATTTTATCACTTTATAAATAACACAAAAATCTAATATTTTCATAATTAATATAAAATTCTTATATTAAATTGAATAAAATAACGATATAAAATTTCCTGTAAATAATAAAATAATAACAATATAATAGAAAAAATAAATAAAATCTGAAAGCTATCAGATTTTACATTATGACCAAAGAGACATTTTTTAACGTTTTGTGTGTTACCTTTATCTATTAAATATCATGCTCTTCGCACTTAAACCACATAAAATTCAATTCAACAGCAATATCACAAAATAATTTTAAAAGAGCATATCTTTAGAATTTCCGATACACAGTCTCGCGCGCTGGAGATATTGTTTTCCCTCCCAAAATTCATTAAAGTTTACCAAATTATGAAACAGATAATAAAACAAATTCCAAATTAGGGCTTCCAGATGCTCATATTCGGATGGAGGATTACGTAATCCAAAATTTGGTGGTTCTAGGTACCGTTGTTTTATCACAATATGAGAAACATACATACATTTATGCAAATTGTTCATTATTTAATTTCTTAAAATACAATGCAGGACTCTAACATTTGGTGGCAACAATTTGAAAAGTGATACGCTGTTTATAGTAATTTGATGCAAAATGCCAAAACAAAATTAATAGCCCTTTTGGGCTAACACACTTTGTGCTAAATAAGCAATAGCATTTTACGTAAAATAATAAAATATAAAATTATTGTACGTTATATGTAAAAATTTTAATTTTTATATTAACAGAATTATGTTAATTACAGCATAACAGAAAAACAAAAATTTATTTTCAGTGGAAAAATCATAAAATAGCTCAGTTGGATTTAAACTCGCAATCTGTTGTTTCACACAGAATTTAACACTTCAGCAAATGCACCAAGCAAGTGATTTAACTGGATTTAGTCTAAAAATTGAAAAAACATTACCAGTTTAAAATTCTACATGTACTTAAATGTAAATAGAGATAAATTAAGCTTTTCGTATTTCTCAGAACATAAGAATATAGTAATCCTTTCAAAAATGCAAAATAGGTACTCTTCTGTTATTGAAGCGGATTCAGAAATATGTGTATGGATGTATGTGAGCATACACACTTACCATACATATTTACATGCATACATGAACACATAAATCCATACATTTCTGAATTTAGTCTCGATAACAGAAGAGTACTGAAAAATACATAAAATTTTTTACGTAAAGGCCGTTTTGTTGTATACACTAATAGGTGGCATGTGAACTGCAATGAGTGCTTGCATCGTGTCCCAGCATTCCTTGGAAATAATTCTGTTTAGTTGCAACTGTGTAGGTAACCTGTACGGTCTGTTTGGTATCTTTAAAATGTTCAAGATTATGGAATTGCCCGTCCCATGCGATTGGTCAGTGATGTTTTTTGTCGGGAAGAAACCTGTCTGCTGCAGACATTTACTAGCAGATCTGTGAAGTTTGCGGAACTGCTGCAACGAGTAAAGGCAAAATGTGTAAGTGGGTCAGACACTTCAAAGCTGGCCACGACAATATCCATGATGAGTCCCGCTCCAGTCACCCATCTAGGATCACAGACGATATGGTGGCTTTAGCTAAAGCAAAAATTCTTGAGAACAAATGCTTCACCATAAGCATTCTTTCAAACGAATTTCCTGGAGTGTTTAGGTCTGTGCAGTACAAGATTGTTTCTGAAAAGTTAAGATTTAAGAGACTGTGCTCTCGTTGAGTTCCTAAACTCCTAACAGAGAACCAAAAAAAAAATTGACTGTTTGCTGAATTTTTTTTAACTCGTTATAATGAAGAAGGTTGTGCTAAGTTGAGTCGGATTGTAACGGTACATGAAACATGGGTTTCACATGTCTCAACTGAATGGAAGCAGCAAAGCATGGAGTGGAGACAAACACATTCTCCTGTAAGGGTCAAGGCTAAACAGACTCTGTCCCAGTGCACGACCATGGCATGCACGTTATGGGATAGGCACGATGTTTTGTTGGTAGACATCATGCAATGTGAAATCACCATAAATGTGGTAGCCTACGGCTAAAACCTGAGAAACCTAAGCAGAGTGATTCAAAACAAAAGATGCAACATGCTGACAAAGGGAATTTTGCTACACCATGACAATGCAAGGTCTCAGACCACAGCTTAGACCCGAGCTTTACTGGACTCTTTTGGCTGGAATGTTTAGTTCCAGGCCTTGTGCCCAGCGATTTTCATCTTTTCTGCTATTTCAAACATCATCTCGGTGGCAACCACTACAACAATGTCAAAGATGTGAAAACGGCCGTGACATCTTGGTTATCGGAGCAGGTGGCAAATTTCTATGAAGATTATATTCAAAATCTAGGGGTTCTATATGATAAGTGTTTAAACTAACTTGCCAACTATGTTGCAAAATAGAGAAATGTGTGTAAAAACTGAAAATTAACTCGTTTTTTGAAAATTTACTTTCGCTTGGTTTTTATTTTCAAACGGCTCTTACTTAAAAAACACCACTCATATTCCACCAGTTTTCATTAAAGTTAACAAATTAGATAAACAAACTGGCTATAATAAATTAGGTGACTAGATGTGGATCATGTTCAAATTAAGAGGATTAGTATTAAAAACAACAAAAACAGTGCTACCCATAAATCCGCAGCCTTCAAACATACACCGAAAGACAAAAGGACACTAATATATGTGCAATAAATAATTTGACATGGAATTTAATAAACAAACCTTGCTTCTCGAATCCTAAATAGATCCTTTCCTGTACAATTAAATGAGTCTTGATACAAATGTGCATCTTGTACTGCTGAGAGACAATCAACATCTGGTCGGCAAACATCTATAAAATGGGGTCGAAGGCGTCCAATGCTATATTTGGCAATGTCTGTCGTCAGCTGAGACATGCATGCTCCATATAAAAATACACCAACATTCTTGTATATTTTCCACCAAAGAGTCGGAACTGTACGTCCTAAGATCACATTTATTTGTCCTCGATTTTCCCTTTTGGACATAGCATCATTAGCAAATTCAGTTAATGATATCTAGAATATAAAATAAGTTTGAAATTTAACAAATAATATGGCTGCAATTGAAATCAAAAGAACTTCATAGAAAGACAAAACTAAATATCAAGTTTATGAAACTGCAATATAAAATTTATATTGATGTCTCTGTCACATAATTAATCAATCAATAAACATATATACAGTCAAACCTCTATTTAATGAACACTTTATTTTACAATTTCCTCTGTTTAATTATTTATAGGATTTTGTCTGAGATGTGAACTTCCTTGTATAAAAAATTCCAAATAGCGAGCTATACTCACAATTTAACAAAGTTTTTGAATGGATGATTTTTCTAGATTTTTCTTTCCATTTTAAAATTATTTATTCATTTGCTATCACACATACGAGGAGCCTGCAGCTTAAAGAAAAGCAGGTGGCTTGTTATCTGTTGTCACATTCTATCCTACATGAGGGATGAAGAGAGGGAGATTCTCAAAAGAGAAAGCATTTATTCATCCACAAAAATTCCCCAGCCAATCCTCTTTGCAAACAAGTTTAAGGTTAAGCAACAGCTGCACATTACTTTTATTTCTGTTTTTCATGGTTTTATATTGCAAATCCTTTTTAACATTATTTGTGTAGTGAATGATAAAAATGTTGAAACAAAGGTGTCTAACACTTAAAGAAAATATGCTGATTTTCGAGGAAGTGGACAAAAGAGTAAAGAAGAAAGGCATTGCCTTAAAATTTAGTATTTTGTAAAATAATTTATCAACAATTCTGAAAATATCAACAGAATAAAATTTCATCAACTTTGATTCCACCAATCCAAGTGCTAAGCATAAGAAAACTTCTAACTATACAATATTGCAATTTGTACCCAAATTTGAAGAGATAGGATCAGTAGGAGATGCAAGGAGGGCAGGAAGACTGTGAAGATGGAAGATGCACTAAAAAGAGCTTGTAACTTGTCATCACAAAAAGGGACATCGTTTGTTAGACATCATTTTTTGTAAATAAAAACTTCAAGAAACACACTTTGTACTATGAGTTTCAAAATATAAATTTACATAACTTTTCATACACTTTAATTTAAAATCATGACGGTACTTCTGCACCCCCCTGTACATGGTGGAACAGAAACAAAAAATTGCTCTAGTTATAAACATCTGCAGTGGTCACCCTTAGGATACCAAAGACAAGTATAAACTTGTTAAGGTTTTTTTTTTTTTTTCTTTCCTCCAATTATCACTGCGAAATTGCAGCCTATGGATCAAGATATGATGAAATGGGTTAAGACGCATTTTTGCAAACGAATTTTGCAGGCCTAGATGGGAATAGTAAGTAATTAACTTTCATGTGTAATAAGTTTACATGAAAACTTATTACACATAAAAGTGTATCTGAACTTGAAAAAAAAAAAAAAAAGGAATTGCGATGTAACTGAAAAAGTTGTTCAAAATATCTTTAAAAAAGCTGGCTTCATTACCAAAACTTTTTCTTTCTCTATCCTAACATGTTTATAATAAAGAACCCTTAAATGCATCATTTTAAAATCAATCCCTGTCGTGCACTAAAGACAGATACTCCATAATGCTTCAGCCTATAATAATATTTGTGAACTAAAATCTAAATTGGCCATTTTTTTTCTCATTTGCTGCCCACAGGGCATGGAGCCACTTATATTTCTTTCATTAAATATATTGTAAGAAAGACGTAAAAAAGGCACATACTTAATTGGACAAGAATAGAATACAGATTGCATCACCTAAGATGTAAATTTTATGCTTAAGAAAATGTTAGACAACAAGAATAAAGAAGTATTATTTCAACCATGACTGCTGCCACATCTTTATTCATCTAGTTCTGTAGTCATGCATTTACATCATCTACACACAGGAATATTTATTATTACATATATACATCTTGTAAACAAAACTATGAATAGTAATTAAATATCCCTACATTTTTCTGCAATATGGATATGAAACTGCAATGTAATTCAACTAATTTATTCAGAAACTTACCACTATAACAGGAACAAAAATTCCAACAATGTAAAGCACTTTATTTGATATAGTTGATTCCTTGAAAGGATACCTGATACTGTCATCATCACAGAAGAATCCTCTTTGTATAGGCTGCCCATGAAGGTGAAACAATAAAATTGGAATACCAACTAAAAAATAAATTGAAAATTTTCTCATCAGAATACCGGTAATATTTAAAAAACTTTACAAATTGTTAAAGACTCCGAAACAGCAATAGATGTAGTAACAGGAAGAAAGCTGAATACTTCTCTGTTCACTCATTAGCCACTGTATATACACAGAGGACCGACCATATAGTTATATTGTTTCCTAACTTCTTACTGCATGCCTTGTAACATGAAAGAGCAGCCAAATTTTCCCAGTCTGCATGCTGTGCACTTATCGCATCAGCTGGAAGCGTTCATTGATTTTGGCGCACTTTTTACATTATTATGATGCAAAGGCAAGTTTCCTGCTTCGGAATTTACACTATACTGCATATTTAAGTTTAAAGTTGATTAGTTTTATTTCAGTTTCAAAGTTTTTATTTAAAGCTGGTTGTTTGTTAAAGCATGCGGTACAACTCTGATATACGCCCTAATTTCACCAAATGTGGCGATATGTGTTCTGCGCTGGTTTTTGGCGCGATTGCGTATTGTATGGCAACCCGTTTGACTTTAAAAAATCTTTCGCTGGAGCTTGTTGGTTCGCGAAGATAGGGGAAAAAGATAAAATGGTGGAAGTTGTTGAATTAAAGTTCGGCAAAAGGAAATATCATCGTGGCCATCCTGTTGAGTGGCAGTGGGTATTTGGATGTGTGGAAAAAAGGTCTTGGGAGATTATTTTTAGTGGCTGTGCATGATAGAAGTAGGGATTTGTGATTTTATTTATTTGTGAACCATAGTATGAATTTTCTGGATAGTGTGCCTGGCTGTCATATAAATTCAATAGTGATTATGTGGCGGCATGTTAAAGGCGGTATGAAATTGGTATTTCTGCTGTTCGAAAAAGCATTAATACATGGTAAGTCCATTTTATTTTATTCTTGTTCTTATTTTGTAGAATCTTATGTTCTTTTTTTTTTTTTTTTTTTTTTTTTTTTCTTTTTTTTTTTTTTTTTTTTTTTTTTTTTTTTTTTGTTTTTTTTTTTTTTTTTTTTTTTTTTTTTTTTTTTTTTTTTTTGTTTTTTTTTTTTTTTTTTTTTTTTTTTTTTTTTTTTTTTTTGATTATGTTTTTTTTTTTTTTTTTTTTTTTTTTTTTTTTAGTTTTTCTTTTTTTTTTTTTCTTTTTTTTTTTTTTTTTTTTTTTTTTTTTTTTTTTTTTTTTTTTTTTTTTTTTTTGATTTTTTTTTTTTTTTTTTTTTTTTTTTTTTTTTTTTTTTTTTATTTTTTTATTGTGCATGGTTTTCTTTTTTGTTGCGTAGTGTGTCTAGATTGTGCCCTTTGTGCCGTTTTTTAAATTTAAATAGAACGCTGTGTACATGGTTTTTTGAAATTTACTGTTGTTATGTTAATTTATTAAAGCGAGGTGTGCGTAATTTGTAGATTCGTTTGTTGCCTAGATTGTGCAATTCATAGATTTTTTTTAAACAGGATGCTGTGTACATGGTATTCTTTGAAATTTATTAAAGCGAGTGTGAGTAGTTCGTAGATTCGTGTTGCCTAGATTGTGCCATTCATAGATTTTTTTTTAAATTTAAACATATGGCTGTGACATGGATTCTTGTCAAATATTTTTGGTTAGAAAAAAACGTTTTACTATTTTTTGCTTTTGTTTTGGATTGTTAGTTTAAATTGTGTGTTCAAAACGTGGTTTTTGCATGTGCGAAAACCGCGTTTCTGGAGACATTTTAGGCTTAAAGTTTGAAATGTAGACAAAAAATTTAGATAGTAATATGGCAGCGTGGTGTTTCTCGCCAAAAATGTTTGGCGAGAAATTTGGTGACTTGAGGGCACATATCAGAGTAGTTCCAATCATGCTTTTATGTTTTTTTATGGGCTTGGTTCCATACAATAATGGCTATGGCTTTCTTTTTTTCTTTCTTTTTTTTTTTTTTTTTTTTTTTTTATTTCAAGCTTGACTGGAGTAAAACAGAGTACTTTTAAAGGAATTAATTCAACTCATGATTACAATTTTATCAACTTCTGAAAAAGAAAAATTACTTCAAAATGATGAACCTTAAGGGACATATGCCATACTAATTCAGAAGTCAAACAACAAAAATCAGCATTATACCTACAAAATTTTCACAGGACTAGTTTCGATGGTTTTACCGAACCATCATCTTCAGCTGCAAAACCGCAAATGAACATGATCATTATCATGAACATGATCTTATCTAATCATTATTTCCTATCTTGTTCATTTGCGGTTTTGCAGCTGAAGATGATGGTTCGGTAAAACCATCGAAACTAGTCCTGTGAAAATTTTGTAGGTATAATGCTGATTTTTGTTGTTTGACTTCTGAATTAGTATTTATTCGGCGTGTTATTGTGTCTTAATATGCCATACTATATAACAGGGGTGGCCAAACTTAAATATCAGCAAAAGTCACAAATTGGAATTCAAGAAAGTTCAAGAAACAACCACAACTAAATTTTTCAAAAGTCACAAGTTGATATTTACATCACTTTCACGGCAGTGAAACAGGTTTCAAATGAAAGATATGACTCTCAATTTTGTAAAAAGAAATGAAATAAATTAATTACTTTGTTTAGATGAATGAGTAGTTTTAGTTTATCACATTTCATACATTTATTTTATTTGCATTAGAGTCGCATCAGTGGCCTGACAGTTGCACACCGCTCATGAGCTGCACTAGGGCTCCTCGATATATATGGTAAAACAGGAGAAATATGTAAATTCTATAATGCTAGAAAACTAGCTAATTAATAGTTAATTTCTTTTGCTGTGGTTAGCTGTAAGTTATGAATTTAACAATTTCAGTGTGTTATTAGTATGTCTTTTAAGACATGAACCATTTCATTCTGATCAAGGTGTGAATTCAGCCAATGTCCAGTTTCAGTACTTCTAAATTTTTTGAATGACCAGACAGAGTGCATTGTAACTTTAAATAAGAGAGACACCATTGTACAACTGAACGAACAGACAATACCAATGCCCTAATGCCCTACTTTGTTTAGCAATTAGCAAAACTAATATTGGTATTAGATACATAATGAATGACTCAGCTTCCCTGGCAAGAACAAAATGTGTGGAAGAACTTCAACAATTGAGGAAGAAAGCCTTTTTGTCACACCACAAACCTATCAAAACGAAAATTTTTATTTCATTTAGTCAAAATGTCTTTAAGCAGACAAAAATTCAAAATAAAAATATACTTATACCTTTGTGTGATGAATGCTTATAAAAATATTTACTTTGGCTTTCCCTTGAACTGTATAGTGGTTAAATGCTGACTGCTAATGTGATTTGGAGGTGAAAGTTGAATCCTGTGCAAGGCTTGGTTAAATTGTTTTTTTGGCTTCTCGTGAGTACATCGGACCACTCTTGGTTGTGTACCCCAGCTGGAGTTCCAAGTTAATCTTCTATATTTAAATTTATAATTCATTTACTTGCCATTAATTTAATTTATAAATATTTTTATGTATTTATCTATATTTTTATTTAACTACATTATTAAATTTTCATTATTTAATTTATTCAATTTAACTTGCTTTTCCTGATAGCCTTCCACAGGACTCTGTCCTTTCTAATTTTTGAAATTAAATCCGGAAGAAAATATAAAGAGATTTCAGTTTGAGATACAAATGGTAAATACCTATGCACACTATCATACAAATACTAGAAAATAATATGTAAGTCACTTAAGTACCGAAATTCAGCAAATATTTCCAATTAAGAAAAGCAGTTCATATTGAAAAGCCACATGTGAAAGTTTACATATTGAAATCACAAACTAATTAATAACCTTGATTACTATACTTATTCACAGAAGTTATAAGTATTACTTATTGGAAATACAAATTAAATAGTATGTTTTTTACTTCCATGAAGTATAATAAATGTAATTAAAAATATTTTAGAATATAATAAGCTACTTTGAAAAATTCTAAATTTTAAGAAATAAATGAATTTCACACATAACTGAAATAGTTCCTATGCTTTCACATTCTACTTCCTGTTTTAACTATAATGAACTTTAAAATTACAGGCGCACAATTCTGTTGAATAACACATAGGATAGAAGAAATAATTTTTCAATGTAGAATGTACTAGTAAATATATTACATCATACAAAATAATTATTTAAAAAAGATTAAAGCAGAACAAAATTTACTTGCACAAACATGCATAATTTTATATCTATTTAATATATATATATAAACTACATTCACACAAAACAGGAAATAAGAATCCTATTTGCTTATATATACACATTAAGAATCAAAGAACAATATTTATTAGCTAAAGACAGGAAAACAACTGAAATTCTATGATAAATTCAAATTTAATGCATTGATGAATACTAACCTGTTAGAAGAATTGCTAAGTCAAGAAGAATCTTGGCAATTATTCTATGATCTTTCGGCATATCGTAGTCAAATCGCCTAAAGGTAAACATACATTGAATTACTAATTACAATACATTGTAAGCCAAAGCTGCTATCAACGTAGAACACTCAAATAGTGGAGCGTCAACTGTAATCCGCCAATGTTTACCTCTCTCTTCAAAAACTGTATACTCCCGCGCATGCGTGTACGGTGTGTTCAAATTTTATTTTTTGCTGGCAAGCCCAGATAACGACCGGGTCAGAGTACAAGAAAATACTAATTGCACAGCCAATCGTATGTAGCAGCCGGACCTTGAGCTTAATCAAAAATGACCGGTGAGTTGTGGTGGATATACAGGCAAAATCGCGCTGGTTTGGGGCACATGTCAAACAGCAGCGGATGCAGCCAATCACAATAGCCTATTGTTAGTATTTTGATACGTGAGCCGCAGTTATGGGAAGGGGGGAGTCAAACGTCGTTCTCTCCCTTTAAATGGGTGTAGAGAGCGTTGCAGCGCAGACCAAACTTACTGTAGGCTGCAAAAGAAGAGAAACTTCGTGGTGAAGCACAAAATGAATCAACTTGGCATATGTTTGTCAAGGGAAAAAAAAAAGGGTTGTGGAAAGAAAGACGTAATTCGTGAGCATATAAGGAGGAATCAGATTTTAAACTTTAAGACGTGCCTGTGGCTGAACCGTTTTAACAATTCCCATCTTCTAAAACTTACCTGAAAGTTTCAGAAATCATAAAAACAATAATTTATTTATACAGTACGTGAATATAATTGTAATACTGTTGAGAATTCTCCTTTCCCTCTATATGCATAGCCGATTTCCGAATGATTGGGTGATACCGGAGATGAAGTCCACGGATAATACAGAATCACGGCCAGGGGCGGCGAATGAGGACCTGCACCGCAGGTGGGCGCCACGAAAAGAGGCGCCGTTTGACAGTTCAATAATCACTATCAGATTCGTAATCATTTTTAATAAAAGCTAATAACGAAAAATAAGAAAAAAAAAAAAGATGTACTTAGACAAAAAAAAAAAAAAAAAAAAGAATCATTTAGATAAAAATTAGAAAAATAAATAAAAAATCTGAAATTGTGTCCAAAGGAGGCTATTTTTAATGTTTTGTATGTTACCTTTATTTATTAAATATCATGTTCTTCGCACTTAAAGAAAATTCAATTCAACAGCTATATCGCAACATAATTTTAAAAAGAGCATATCTTTAGAATTTCCGATACAGAGTCTCGCGCGCTGGAGATATTTTTTTTTTTTTTTTTTTTATTTTTTATTTTTTCAAGCGAGAAATGGCAACACTGCTTTGAAATCGTTGAGTTTGTTAATAAAAAATTCGTTAAAGTTTTACAAAATATGAAATAGATAATAAAACAAATTCCAAATTTAGGCTTCCAGATGTCCATAATTCGGGTGAAGGATTACGTTATTCAAAATTTAATGGCTAAAGGTACCGTTGTTTTATCGCAATGCAAGAAAGTTACATACATTTATGCAGATTCTTCAATATTTAATTTTCTTTAAATATAATACAGTGCAATAATATTTGGTGGCAACAATTTGAAAAGTGATAGAGACTTTTAAGTTTTCAAAGCAAAATGCCAAAACGAAATTGAGAGTCCTTCTGAACTACGCCCTTTGGGCTAATTAAAAAAAAAAAAAAAAATAGAATACTACAGATGTACTTAAACGAAAAAATCTTAGAATTAAATTTAGAAAAAATTAGAATAGAAAAGATGTACTCAAACGAAACAAAATTAAGAAAAATATACAAAGCATTCTTTCGCAATGAAATAGAACCTGAATGAATCATTTTTAGGAACCAAGGAATGAATCATTTTTATTGTAATAGCTAAGTTTTTTAAATGTTGAAAATGTTAAACTTGTCACAAATTTTTAAAAATTAAAAATTTATAGAGATTTGCAATTAGTACTATTAAGAATGCAAAAAGTAATGATTACAGTTATATGAATGGTTTCTTACTTTCGATTCTTAAAGAGTTTTCATGCAAAATTTTAAGCTATTTGGAGTATATATGTTTACAATGTTTTACACGAAAGCAAAATGTCAAAAATGCCGTTTCGGGGAAGGAAGAAATAATTTAACTATATTATCATGTTTCTGAATTCAAACTTAACGTGCTCCTTCATCATCTGAATTTTCTAAAACACTTATTTACATTTTCCTGTACGTAGGGCTTATTTTCTAAAATTAAAAGTGCCGGACCCCTATGGAAGACTATCAAGAAAGAAGAGCAAAAATAAATGAATAAATAAAATGAGTAGTAAAATAATTATATAATAATTAAACAATTAAATAATTAATTATTAAATTTAAATTATTAATGATTAGAATAATTCAACAATTAATATTAAAATTTAATAAACTGTAAAGAGATAAATAAAAATATAATAAGTTATTAAATAATGTCAAATAATTAAATAATAAAATAAAATACTGGATCTTGACTTATTTGGGATTTCAGTTGGAATTACAGTACAAGAAATAAGGAATAGCTCAACCGATCTCCAGTTTAGTTTAAACTCTGAATATAGTGTACTATTTCCAGGGATGATAGATTAAGGCCTTTCTTCTTTCAACACGCCAATGAAAAATGTTAGACTGGTTAAAACGCCACTAATGAAAATGCAGAAAATGCTATAAACAGTAAGAGAATATAGAGAAAATTTTCACGAACGACTTTAATTATAAAAACAAAAATAGATGAGTGCAGCATTTTCTGACCACGATCTCTTCTCAGTATAATTCTAGTTATCAAGCAGAAGAAGGGAAGCAAATTTTCACCGAATGCGAGAGTTAGCTGAAAAAAATATAAATAACAAGTGGCAATTTTTATACCCCGTCTCCAAAAAGTCTCCAGGTCCTCTTTTCAGCGGAAAAACACCAGGATGGAACGACAAATGTATCCGCTGTCATAAATTCATTGTACTTTCTAGATAATAACATGATAATAGGTGGGTGCTTTTCTTTCATTAAAAGTCTCGACCTTCGTCCAAGAGCTTGTATCCAAAGGAAAGAAAAGCATGTATTCAGATGTTAAAATCGATTTTTAATATTTTTTTTCCAATGGCAGGCACTTGCCTATAATGGCTTTGGCTTCTCCTAAGACCAGAAGTGGTGGCCGTTTTATTGTGGAGGCCACCTAATGGGCAACTACCGTTGCTTCCTATGAAGGGATTCAAAAACGGGCTTTTCGGTATCGCAATCAAATGTTACGTCACATGCAATCACGTTCTTTCTTCAACGTCAGAATATGACCTTATATAACAGAAGTGGCCAAAGTGCGGCTCGCGAGCCTATAATACGGCTCTCACAGGCAATTTGTGCGGCTCATGCATATAAAATATATTGTTACGAAATGTACAGGCGCGGTAAGATGGCTTCCCCGCAAAACAGTTTTAAGCCATAAAATGGCAAGGGGAAGCAGGGTTGCCACATTTGGGGGAAAAATCGCCCATTTGGCGACAAAATTGGCGATATACCATGGACGGATGGGGAACCTTCTGGAACGAATTCTTACCGGTTTAGCTCAGAATGCTCTCGAACACAAGCCGAAAGCTAAATAAACCCTCCAGGTCCGCAGTCAATTGTGCCTCGTCTAGCGAGCTGATAGTCAGTCATTGAGCGAGTGTCTCGAGGTCTAGCGCTGAGTTGGTCGTCGAATGCATGGAGAGAGTCTTTTAGTGTATCGCGAGTTAGTGCATCGTCGAATTTTGTCTTAGACTGTACTGAGTCGAGAGCTGTGCTGTGTGTGTCGTCGAGTGCATTGCAAGTTGTAGCGTGGAGAGTCTCGAGAGTACGTGGAATTGCGAGAACGACCAAGCAGATTTGGGAGTTGTACTCTGGTGCTTTGCAGTGAAGCCGTCTCCACCGTTATTGCCTGACAGTATGAAGGCTGTGCCGCTGATTGTTCCAGCGTGTTTATAGTAGATCTTCGATGACTGTAAAAGTGTTTTGAAGCTGTCCTGATTAATACTGTAAATAAAGTGTGTTTCGATACTTCATCAAGTGTCGTCGCTATTCACTCCAAATCTACGAACCCCGTACGAATGTGAAGGAAGAAAATAACGTAACAACTGGTGTCAGAAAAGGAAAACGCAACAATATGTATGAAATACGGTAAACTAAAATTATTCAGTGTCCAAAAGGAAGTAATTAATTAGTTCAGACTCTTTTTACAAAGTTATCAGGGATTTCTTTCTATTTAAAACCTCCTCCACTACTTCCATAATGATGTAAATATGAACTTTGTGGCTATTAGAAAATCTAGATGCGGCTCTCGAACATTCCTGAATATCAAACGTGCGGCTCTTACTGACATGAAGTTTGGCTAACCCTGTTATATAATAATAAGATGTTTAATACTTGGCAATGCTATTTTTATTTCATATTTTGTAAAACTTACAATTTTTTTTTATTTACAAAACTCTACGCTTTGAAAGCGAGCAGTGCCAACACTTTTCGAAATAAAGCAGGTTTTTATCTCCAGCTTCGTGACTGTTGAAATAGATAAATGTTTTACATTTTGTAGAATGGTAAAACACTGGAATGAAAAGTGAAAAAACGCATTTACAGTGGACAACATTTAAAGTGAATCAACGTCAAATCGTGTTTCGTGATTAATAGCCCTTTTGAACTGATAGCTGTTATATACTCCACGAAATGAAACAGAAAGTAAAACTGAAATAACTCCACGGAAAAATGAAATTGAAACAATCTGACCTATACGATATCATCTACAGATGAATTTATGGTGCACCATATAAAATTACAAATTATCATAATTTTATGTAAAAGACACTATTTGAAAAACCAGTTCTTGCATTAAAATATTGATTCAAATTTTATATTTTGTTTGAAAATTTGTCATTGCGTTTATATGATGACAAAAATATTCAGCTAACAATTCAAAGATAAAATATGAATTTTAAACTTTTTCATAATTTATTGAAAAATAAAAAACTCTTCATTAGGATGAACAGCAAATTTACACCAAAGAATATGCTGGAAATTGGAGGGGGGATAATTGATAATAATAATTTTTAAAGAGAATAAATGAAAAACCAAAATTTAAAACAATAAGAGTTAAAAAAAAATAATTAAAAAATAGTACCATC